CTGTGCGGACCCCGATGCTGATCACGCCGGCGACGATGACGTCTCCGCGTCGGAGCTGAAAGTTTCGGAAGGAGAGTTCGACATGCGCGCGCGGCCGACGCGCGAGCGGCTCGCATGGTATTAGTTGACGCGGATCGCGCCCCCCTCCCAAGCATGGGCGCAAAGGCCTGCGATGATTTCGGCATGCGGCGCCAGAGCCCCTTCCGGGCATCATCCCATGGTTTTCGGAAGAACTCGCAAAAACGCGGGCGCACGCTGTTGTGAAAACTGATATTGCGAAGCAGCGCGTTGTTGTAGTATGTTGTAACACTCGATGTTGAACGCCTTACGAAACCAAAAATGTTTGCGGCATGCGCGCGCGACGACGCGGGCGCGTGCAGTTTTGCAAAATATTCTCGCGACGGCACGCGCGCAAGGGCGTTCGAACGATTTCGACATGCGCGCGCGAAGCCCGTTTGGTAACACTTTCTGAAAATAATGAAAAAGGTATGGGTCTCTTCAGAATTCGCGAGGGCGCGCGGGCAAGCTTCTCTTGAACATCTGTGTTGCGAAACCTTGCGTGGTGTCTTTTTTGTTGGGGCGCTTGATTTTGAACATCCTATCGAAACCGACGGCGTTTGACGGATTGCGGCCTGCGCGCGCCACGCGCGCGTGTGGTCGTCTCCCCATTTTGTGCAATGGATTCTTGAAGCTGGTGTTTTTTGATAAACGAATGCGCGCGAATAGTTTTTGTTTGCAGAGGATGGCGGGAGGGGATATTGTATCGGCTGGGATGGTAATGGCTCATTTTTCGGATGGGCGGCGGGGCAAAATCATATGTAAACTGTGATACGAAGAGGGGAGCGGATAATTCTTGCTCCGGAAGGGTGGTGGAGATTTTTTGTTTCTTTGTTTGAGTGGTTCTGCGTTGCGTCGTGGACGTGGTGTAACCTATTTGGCGCAATCTGCATTGTGTGTTTGATGTTAACCAGCGTGTTGACGCAGCCCACGTTCTGGCACACATCCCACCCACCCGCCCGCAACTTGGTTTGCAAAACCCATGCGGTGGCGATTGCGATGCATGCTTTGCTTTGACTGCTGCATCTCTGCGGCCACGCCAGCTCAAACACGCGCGCGCAATGTTCAGCCAGTTTGGCGCGACCGACGCGGCCGCGGTGGCGCTGACCGCTGGGCACATCCCAGTGGGCATTTCAGTGCGAGTCGGCGACTTTGGCGGGCGCGGTATCACGGCAACGTCGACAACTGTAGACACGGTGATGATGGTAGCGATGCTGGTGGCGATGTTGACAACGACGCAGGCGCGGCCAGTGCGGGCCCCGATGCGGATCACGCCGACGACCTCGACGGCGCCTTCGCGTCGGCGGTGAAGGTTTTGGAAAGACTTCGACATGCGCGCGCGGCCGACGCGCGATAATGGCCCGCGTGATTCTATTTGACACGGACCGTGCCCCCCACCCAGCACGCACGCAAGGGCGTGCGAATGATGTCGGCACGCGGCGCGAGAAGCCAGTTTGGCGTAATGTTTTGAACATGTTGAAGAACGCATGATTTTGTCAAGGGTTCGCAACATCGCGAGTGCACGCTGTTGTGAAAACGGACTATGTGAAACCATGTGTTGCTGTATGTTTTTTGTTTGTTTTTTGGACGGTCGGATTTGCCATCGCTACGATACCGAACTTTTTGGCTCATTTCGGCATGCGCGAGCGACGACGCGCATGCGTGCACTTCGCCCCTCTTTTTTGCAGAAGGGTTCTCGCGACGGCACGCGCGCAAAGGTGGCCGAACGATTTCGACATGCGCGCGCGAAACCCGCTTGGTAGCATTTTATGAAAAGGGGGCCACCCTGTCCGGATGGGCACTGTGCCGAGCTGGCCCTTCCTTTTATACGGCCCCCCATCAATTAAGCTTTACTTTCGCAGGCCGAATGATTTTCCTCTTGAGCCACACATGTCGGAAGCGACGCGCCGTTCAGGTGAGAGCAACCACATGTTATGGGAGAAGTGAAGGGAGGTGGCCGGGCCCGCTGTGGCGCTCGAGCTTCCGACTTGGACACTTTGCTTGTGTGTCTTCGCCCGCCCTCATCCCTTCCTCTCCTCCTCCTCCTCCTCCCACTTCCCCCCTCCTCCTTCCGCCTCCTCCCTCCTCCTTCCTCCTTCGTCCGTCCGCCTCCCTCCTCTCTCCTCCCTCCTCCCTCATCCTCCTTCTCCTCTTCCTTCCTCCTCCCCCCATCCCTTCCCTGATTGTTCCTCCTCTCTCTCCCCCCCTGCGTCCCCTCTGTTCTCCTCCCACCTCCTCTTGCCTCTTCCCTCATCCTTCCCCTCTTCATCCTGGGAAGACCCCCCCTCCCCCGTAGCATCATAGCATTGGTCTGCAGATCCACAGTTCCGTGGATAACACGATGCTTCATTTGCGGTGCTCCGCGGGTCCAGTTTCCCATGGGTCCCGGATGTTAATTATTAGTATATATTTATTCCCGGGAAACAGATGGATCCATCGCTTTTTCACACAGAAAATTGGATCCGCGCAGCACAGAAATAGGATCCACGAACCCCCCCCACACCCGAACAAAGGGATCCATTTGGATCCATTGATGTTGTTATATTTTTAGTCCAAGAGGAAAGAATGTTCGGCTTGGGCTTGCAGGGTTTAGCACCCCTCTCGCACTTCCACGCAGGGGTGTTGGCGGGGGGGGCGTACTGGGATCCAATAGGACCCATTGATGTTGTCAATTTTTTAGTCCAGAGGAAACAATTTTCGGCCTGGTCCGGGAGGTTCACCTGTTGCCAACCCCGCTGCCGACGGGCTCCCGTCGCACCCTTGCCGCAGGAGCAGCGGTTACGTGCAGTTTTGGCAAGTGTTTGGTTTGTCTGGGCTCTCGAAATAATGCCCCCGTTCGAGCGCTGGCCGCATTCGTATCATGGACTTCGCGCTGTGGCCTGAGCGCCATCCGAGTCTCCGAGTTCGGCGCTCTCCCTGCAGCGGTGGCCTTGCCCGCGTCTCGACTCGAGTTTTGTGAATCGCAGTCGGCTGGTTTCAGTAATTGCGGTTCGGTCGGCTGTTGCGCTTTAGGTCGTTCTCAGTCCGTTGTTTCGATCGGTTTCGGTTTTGTTGCCGCCGTGGACGCCGTTAGGCGGCATGAGCGGGGCTGGGCCGACTGTTGGCCGGGGCTGCTGTTTCGATAGTTTTTGTCCAACCATTTTGTTGTGTTGTGTCCTCGTGTTGTGGCGACACTGCCCCGAGTCAGAACTCCTCTCCCCTCCTCTCCTTTCCTCTCCTCTCCTTTCCTCTCCTCCTCCTCTTCGCCTCTTCCTCCTCCTCCTCCTCCCTCCTCCTTCCTTCTTCCTCCGATGCCTGCCTCTGCCCTCCGCAGCAGTCAACCATGCCGGCACGCCCCATCACACGTATCGTGGCCCCATAGGGGGTCCCACCGAACGCCCAAGTGCCAGCGCTCGCAGGCGCCCGCCGTACCCATGTCGGCACATCGCTTACACGTTTCGTGGCCCCATAAGCAACGCCACCGAAGGATCCAGTGGCTGCGTTCGCATGCGCCCACCGCACCCATGTCGGCACATCCTTCACACGCTTCGTGGTCCCATAGGGAGCTCCACCGAAGGCTCCAGCGGCTGCGTTCGTATGCGGTTCCAACGCACCCACTTCGGCACATCCCCCACACGTTTTGTGACCACATAGGGAGCTCCACCGAAGGCCCGAGTGGCTGCGTCCGCATGCGTCCACCGCACCCATTTCGGTACATACCTCACACGCTCCGAAGCCCCCCCATAGGCAGCTCCACCGAAGGCCCCAGAAGCTGCCTTCGCATGGGCCCACCGCACCCATTTCAGTACACCCCTCACACGTACTGTTGCCCCATAGTGTGTTCCATTGAGGGCCCGAGTGGCTGCGTTCGCAGGTGCCCATCGCACCCATGTCGGCACATCCCTTACACGCTTCGTGGCCCAATAATCAGCGCCACCGAAGGCTCCAGTGGCTGCGTTTGCATGAGCCCACCGCACCCATTGCGGTACACCCCGGCCCCACAGGGAGCTCGACCGACGGTCCCAGCAGCTGCGTTCGCATGCGTCCACCGCACCCATCTTGGCACAACCCTCACATTCATCGTGGTTCAATAGGGAGCTCCACCAACGGCCCCAGTGGCTGCATATGAATGCGCCCACCGCAAACATTGTGGCACGCCCCACGCACGTTTCGCGGCCCCATAGGGAGCTCCACCGACAGCCCCAGTGGTTGCGTTCGCATGCGCCCACCGCACCCGTGTAGGCATATCCGTTACACGATTCGTGGCCCCATAAGCAGCGCCACCGAAGGCTCCAGTAGTTGCGTTCGCATGCGCCCACCGCACCCATTTTTGGCATACCCGTCACGCTCTGTGGCCCCATAGGGAGCTCCACTCACCGACGGCCCCAGTGGCTGCGCTCGCATGCGCCCACCGCACCCATTTTGGCACGCCCCTCCCACGTTTCGTGGCCCCATAGGGAGCTCCACCGAAGGCCCCAGCGGCTGCGTTCGCATGCGGTTCCACCGCAGCCATATTTGGCACACCCCTCACACGTATTGCGGCCCAATCGGGAGCTCCACCGACGGCCGTAGTGGCTGCATTCGCATGCGCCCACCGCACCCATGTCGGCACACCCCTCACACGTTTCGTGGCCCATAGGGAATTCCGCCGACGAGCCCAGTGGCTGCTTTCGCGTGCTCCCACCGAACAAATTGTGGCACACCCATCACACGTGTCGTGGCCCTATCGGGAGGTCCTCCGAATGCCGTGCATACAACGGCGGTGCTCACAACTGCATATGGTTGTATCCTTCGCCTGTCTAATTATCCTGACGCTTAGTATGTGAGGAGGTGAAAGACTTGAGGGTGAGGGATGCGTTCCGTTGTGGGTGAGCACTCCAGGTCACCGCCGAACGCCTCTGCAAGAAACCCCTCTGACGCAATCTCGGGTTTCGGCCTCTCCCCGGTCCTCCGCGCTATGCTAGAATCTCTTCAGCAAGCTCAACGTGAGTGGCCAGCTCATCGCGAGGCCTGGTAGCCAGCCTCTCTGTTTGCGTTGCTACTGTCTGTGCACGGTCGTATGGTGTAACACGTTGACGTTGTTGCAGTGCACGGTAGATTTGCTCGTTCCAGGCGGGCATTGGCCATTGCATCAGTCGTTCGCGCGCTGTCGTGGTCGGAGGGTGGAGAGTGTAAGACGCTTGTGGGAGGACGCGGCGGCGGAGGAGGAGGAGGAGGAGGAGGAGTACGCTCGTTCCCCTGCACCCCCTCGATCACCTTGCAGACCTGTTGATCTTCCCCACAGTGGCGGGGGACGCGGCCAGAGGGCGCCGCTGGGGCGCGGCTGCTGCCGGGGAGAGAAGTGCGCAGACCTGTGCTGCCGGTGCGCGGCCTGGAGGGGCTCCTGGCGCTGCGGACCCGCAGCCTGCCCGAGCTGCGGGCGCCGGACGGCTGTCCGTGCCGCCTCGCCGGGGCCGCCTCGCCGTGGCACGGTGCAGCGGGCCACAGGCGCGCCGGAGGCGGCGCCATCGAGGTGTGCAGGCTGCCGTAGAGATAGCACCTCTGCTTCCAGAGTAGAGAGAGGGGGGGGGAGGAGGAGGAGGTCTTCCTGCTCGACCTCTGACCTGACTCGCACTCCTGGCCCAGCATCTCGGCGAGGCCCGTTGCCACGCCAGGCGCGACCTCGCCAGTTGCGGGGCGGCCACCATGGTGGCGGAGTGCATGCTGCTCTTGGACGCGTGCTCAGGGGATTGCCGAGAGGATCGGGCTCAGGGTCAGGCCGCAGTTGAGTACGACGCCTGGGTTTTGCACCCGTGCGGTGGCAACGTGCATGCCACCACAACGGCAATCGGCCCCTTCTCGAGGTCTGCCTGCGGCTCCTGCCCCCTCGTCTTCCGCACGCTCGGCCTGGCCTTTCCTCGGTCACGCGCAGAGGGGGTATAGGGGAGGAGCGGGGCAGGTTTCTTGGAAGGTGGCTGGTTCTTAGAAGGCGCCGGCCTTGTCTGTAGATGTTAGGCCCGAGCCTTCTAAGAAGCGGCCTCCTTCCAAGAATCGGGGCTCAAGAGACGGGGGTCAATGCAAACGGGGGTACGTCAGAGCGCCGGATCTTGCAGGGTCCTGCAGAGCCAGGGTTGCAGTGACTTGGGGTTGGGTGCAGGCTCCTGCAGGATGCTGCAGGAACTTGCAGGATCTTGCAGGATCCTGAGAGCCTGACTGACCCCGGTCTGGATTGCCCCGGGTCAGTAGATCCCTGACCGAGCGGCCGCTGGAGGCTCGAATTATGACCCAACAGCCACGATGCGTCGAAGAGGGCGCGTGAGGACCAGGGGGAGGATGTCACTGCCTGGAGACATGAAGCCTCCCCGAGCCCATCCCCTTGTGCGCGCCGCCATCTCCGTCCTGGCGTGGCGCAGCTGACGGCACCTTCAGCGAGGCACCTCGTAATTCTCCAACGTTCGCACGCCGGACCGCGCCGACGTTCATATGCACGTTCAGAGCATGCCCGACGAGCCCGATCATGCTTGGGCGCGGTCGTCGCTCCACGTCCGCGGCGAACCCAGGGGGGAAGGGAGAAGGAGAAGGCCTTCTCAGAAGGCTCGGAAGTCCCCCAGGCTTCTGAGGAGTGTTCTAAGACGTCCCCGAAGGCGCAGAGAGCTTCTCAGAAGGCGCGAGGGCTTCTGCGAAGTGCCGCCGACTTCTGAGGACGCCTTCTCCGTCTCACTTCCCCCCCTTGCTCGCCGCCGATTACGGTCCGCAGCTACACATGTAACAGTTTTGTCAGTCTCCGCGCTCACGGCACCAATTTGGGATTTTGAGCGAGTTTGGGTCATTTCAGGCTCGCAAGTTTATATTTCCCTAATCAGTGCTTGCACTGAAGGGTCCTCGCGGATGTTGAAGGATTTGGTGAAAGTGCCCCGCTGATTTTGATCGCACGCTGGGTTCCCAGGTTCCCGGTTCTGGGTTCCCAGGTTCCGGGTTCTGGGCCGATTTCGGAGGACGGCGAGGTTCCCGGGTTCCCGGGTTCTTGGTCGTTCTTCTTATCGATCGGCCTCACCATCGATCTCATTACCGACTTCTCGATCGATCTCACCATCGATCCCACAATCGATCTCATGACCAATCTCACAAGCGATCTCACTAGAGATCGCATGAGCCATCTCGCGATCGATCTCACTATCGATCTCATTGAATCGATTTCACTCTCGGTCTCACGATCGACTTCACAATCGTCCTCACTATCGATTCCACTATAGATCTCATTATCGATCTCACAATCGACCTCAAGATCCGTGGTATCAATTTCCAAATCATCCACTGATAAGGATTTTCTCGGGTGTAATGTTGGCTTTAGACATGTTTGCCGCCAATGGGAGGTATTATGTGACACCTGCATATTGACGATGTAGATGTGGTAGCACGCTGGATTTTCTCTGTGATGTTGTTCAGTGCGTCGTGGTGCGCCAAAAACTCGCATCCTCCAATTCCTTTGCAGGGGGGATGTGAGAGCAGGGCGAGGAGGGGGATGGGCAGGGAGAGGAGAGGGGTGGAAGAGTAGGAGGAGGAGATGGAGAAGGAGGCGCAGGGCGAGGAGACGGAGGGGGAAGAGGCGGAGGACGCGGACGAGAAGGAGGAGGAGGAGGAGGAGGGCGAGGACGAGGGGACTTCTCTCGCCACACGTGCTGCGTGGCATGAGGGGCGGCGCGGCACCGGCGCTGGGGCTCACGAGGGTGGGAAGTTGTTGGCCCTGGGCGGAGATTGAGTTTCTCTGAAGGGCTCAGGCGACCCGTCCTCCTTCCTCCTCCTCCTCCTCCTCCTATCCTTATTCCTTATTAGAATATACTCCTACTCCCCCCTCAGGCCGGCAGATAGCGGGCGCATCCGGGTGGTCCCATCCTAACCTGTAAAAAACAATACAAAATCAACATTTTTCTCATTTTTTCCTCTCGACATGGACGTCCTGTCGTCCACGGCGATAATCCATTGCAAAAAATGCTACAAAGAGCACACGCGCGCGTTCATGTCAGAATCCTACCGAACACCGTGTGTTTGCAAGCATTTCAACATAAAAACATCAAAAACCCGATGCTTTTTCACAAAAGTTGTACAACTTTCCCGCCCGGGCTTTCTTGCTGAAATCATAGGAAAACCATAGGAATCTTAAGAATTCTGTCAAATCCAGCGATTTCACGTCATCGCGCGGTGCACTCGCGATGCTCTGTCATGCACCCAGGCCGCGAATCCTGTGCAAAAAATACCACAAAGAGCACACTCGCGCGTTCATGTCAGAATCCTACCGAACACCGTGTGTTTGCAAGCATTTCAACATAAAAACATCAAAAACCCAATGCTTTTTCACAAAAATGCTTTGGGGTGTCCTGTCAGACCGTCGGGCTTCCTCCGGCCACCTCTGGCTTCCTGCGGTGTACCGGGCCATTCTCGACTCGTCTGGCAATGCGTGCGCGGCATTCAACACGCGCTCGCCAGTTCCCGTCGGCAACCGCCATCGCGGCCGCATCAGCTGTACCAAACCGGCTGGCCGGTGTGACTTCGGCCCCCAGTTGTGCCAGCTTTGCTTCTTATGTTGTGGGAGGGCGGGTGGGACTGGGCATGCCATGCTTGACTCGCTCGAGCTGGCGAGCTTGACTCCTACTCCTACTCCTAATCCTAATCCTAATCCTACTCCTCCTCCTGCTCCCTCCTCCTCCTCCTCCTCCTCCTCCTCCTCCTCCCTCCTCCTCGTTCCTTCTCCTCCTCCATCTCCTCCTCCTCCTCGGATCGCCTACGGCCCCGGGGGAAACCGTACAGGCGGAGATGCAGAGATTGCTATGTAACGGAGTGGAAGAGGTGTTGCTCAACCTTTCGCATGCAGAAGGGAGGAACCAGAGGATGGCCAGTCGAGGTTGCGTACAGCGGCCATCCCTGGCGTCTTTCTTCTCTTGTGAGCCTTCTGGGGACTCATCGTAGTCATGGCTGGGCCCACCTTCAAAAACTGGGCCAGGATGAAGCCGAGAGGGGTCTGGGCACCGATGTTTAAGCTCCTCTTCCTCTTCCGTCTCATTCTCTTCCTCCTCCTCCTCCTCCTCCTCCTCCTCCTCCTCCTCCTCCTGAGCCGCCGTTGTCTCATGTGGCCCTCCGCCGAAGGACGGAGCTGATTCAAGTGAGCGTCACGAGGTGCCCTTCAAGCATCGGTTCGGACCAACATGGGGGTATTGGGGAAGGGGGGTGACGTAATCTGCTGCTTGCAGTCGCTTCCCACCTCCTTTGTGCGGTAGGTTCGTGCGGCGTTGGCGCGCCAGCGACGCCGGCGAAGGCGTTCAAGTTTGATTTCTGCGGCGCGGAAGCACAGATAGACATGATTACGCCCGTGAACCTGATTGAGTGCATTTTTGAACGATCGGGGCCGCGGTCGATTCAAGGTTGAAAGATCGACGCGGCGTCGAGAACCTTTGCGCGCGCCGACGCCGCACGAACCTACCGTACACTAGCGCCCCGACGCGTGTCCCCGAGCCAGGGCAGGCCCCAGGAGCAGCGGCGTGTGCGCAGGTGGGGGATCAGCGGCGGCTGCCGCGGCCAGGCTTTGGTGGAGCACGTGGAGGTGGCTACAGCTGGGCCGCTCAAGAAGGAACCCTTTTCGTTGGGGAGAGGCCCAGTCCTCCTGAATTGGTTTACACTTTGCCTTAGGTTTCCTCAGGTCTTTGCGATTGGAAGTCGACGTTTAAAATTTGAAAGAAAGGGGGTTCCTTATGACAGCGCTTCGACTGTACAGCAATTCGGCGGCGCACCGAGGGGGGCATTTTACGGGGTTCGAGGTTCGAGGTTCTCGGGCGCTCTCGGGGGTTGTCTGCGGTTTTCCAGCCTCGAGGTGCGGTCCAGCGGCTGCGCCTCGCCGAGAGCGCTCTTGTTGTGCCCGTTGCGTCCCGAACGGCCGCCTGAGGCCCAAATATGACGTGAAAGCCCAACTCGGCAGCGCGCCGAAGAGGGAAGCGAGAGCAGCAGGGCTGGACCTAAACGGTGTTTTTTGAGATTTCCTGGGCCGTTTTCGTTTCGACTTCGTGTTGCGGGAAAGGCGGATTCGAGACAAGAGCGTGGGAGAACGAAAACAAAACGAAAACGAAGAACACCGTTCAGGTTCAGCCCTGGAGAGCAGGTTGGCCTTCCGAGAAGCCCTCTGCGGCTTCGGAGCAGGCTTTCATGAGAGGCCCCCCCCTCCCCTCTGCCCTCCCCCCATGGGCGCACCGGCGAGCAAGCTTGTCGGGTCGGACGAAAGGGGTGAGTTCTATTGCATGCAGCTGGTCTCGGCCCTGCGCTGGGCGCTCCTCGTTTCTTTCGTCCGATCTGGATCCCCTGAGTTCATCGGCCAGGCTAGCTCTGCCGGCGTCTCGTCAATTCGCCGAATCTTGTGCGACGAGCGCGGTCGCCCTAGAAACTGGACCGTCCGCCGGAAGCGGGGGAGGTCTAGACAGCAATAGGCGTATTGGTCGTTCCTCCCTCCCCTCCTCCTGTCTTCCTCCTCCTGTCTTCCTCCTCCTCTTCCTCCTCCTCCTCCTCCTCCTCTTCTTCCCCTCCTTCAAGTTCATGTTGAGATTTGGCTGCGGCCGCCCATGCCCGTGCCGTAGGCCAGCGCAAATTGGTTGCTTTCATCTTTGCACTGGTGTCAGAAGCCGGCCAAGATAGCTCCCCCTCGAGGGACAGCGGATCGATCAAGGCACAGTTACGCTCATAGCTTCATAGTGTACGAACTGTTTTTCGTCTGAAGGTGCTCTACACGCGTCGTCCTTTCTGCCCACGCGTCCTATAGGATGCACGGCTTACTTGACTTGACCACAGCATTGGCTTGCATGTGCAAGTGGCCTGCCGAGGTTGACGGTGTTCCTGTACCCGGTCCTCCAGAATTTCACGTCCATTCCCGTGTTCTCTATCATCCTCAGGTGCTCTGGTCTTTCTTTTGAGAAGGTGCAGCTCCCACCGTGTGTCATGTGCGTTGTCAGGTTCGGTTATTGGCAGGGGGATTCAGATGCGCACCAAAACGCTTGTGTCACTTGTGTCAAGTGCGTTGCAGAGGCGAGGCTGTTAGCATCTGCGTTCCCACCTCTACTTTTCCAATACAGATCACCGTCCCATCCCCGAACAGATCTACCTCGCTACGCAGGTTGGAGCGTCGAGGCTCGTATGCATCACCCGCGTCTGGTGGACGTGGCAGGCTAAACTCCTCTGTGCAACGTGTATATGCTTGTAAGTTGCTTGATGCCAGCCCCAGTCGGTCGCGTTTTCTGGTCTGAGTGGCCACATTTCTGTGATGATAAAGCAGGCCTAGGACACATTAGATCGCCCCAGAGCGTTCCAGAACGCTCTCATAATGTTCCGTGGCGCTTTGGAGCGGTCGCGGTGCCCGACACACCTTGCAAGCTTGCCATCAATCAGATATTTCCGACGTATCTCAATTTAAGTTTCTCTTCTACCTGGTTTCGTCTTAGACCTCGATGACGCGTATGCAGTCGTTCTATGCACTGACTCGGCCCACACGGAAAGAAAACTCACGCCTGAAGGATGTGCTTGATACTGAGGTGTGAATGTAGATGCGAATGCGAGATCTGCATCGTAATTGGCATCGTTTAGCAGTCAGTCATTTGCCCTGTCGTCGCTACGGCCCCCATTGCCCCATCTTCATCGTCGCCACCTCCATCGCACCAGACAGCGCTTCTCTCTAGTCTCCATGGCCAGCCCCATCGCCGCATATCGTCACTGCCACAGCGCTTATCGCCATCACCGCGCCGCCATCGCATCATGCCAGCGCAGCCGGTCTGGCTCAGGCCAGGTGGCGGTGAGCCCGGCCCACCTCGCGCCCCTCGTGGCCGATAGCCGACCGAAGCGCTAACACCGCCCCTGGCCGCTTATCAGAGCCGAAGTGGAGAACCCTCGCCCCTTCCATCCGACCACGACAGGGCCCACTGCGATCCGATAGGTCCGATTCGATATCGATTCTGGTCTGCCCGACCCGATTCGAGTCTGCTTGTCCTCACGAGCACTCCCAGATTCTAGAGTCACCGTCCTCCTCCTCCTCCTCCTCCTTCCTCCTCCTCCTTCTCCTCCTCCTCCCTCGTCCTCCTCCTCCTCCTCCTCCCTCCTCCTCCTCCTCCTCCTCCTCCTCCTCCTCCTCCTCCACCTCCTCCAACTCCTTGCCCCCCCAGATCGGTGAGCATCGGATCGGGACCTCGGCCCGAATCGGGAGAAAAGAGGTGGGCCTCCGAGAAGGCCGGCGGCCTGCGAGAGAAGGGGGGTCCACGAGGCTTCTGAGAGAGGCTTCGCAGAAGGCAGGACGGCTTCCGAGGTGCACATGCGCGACGTAGAACAACGGGGTCGTCTGCGCCGATATGCGCGCGTAAGCTTCCCGCAGAAGGTCTCGCGTCGTCGCCCTCGTCTCATGTGCAGCGTGCCGCGCTGACGTCCCGCGTAAGCCACTGCGTAAGGTCTCGCCCACCCCCCGCTTGTTCGATGGAAAATGCAGCCGCTCAGAAAAGATGGGGATACACGCACCCCTATCGAGGATGAACACCCCTATTCGGACGCACCCCTTATCGAGGACGCACCCCTATCGAGGACGCACCCCGCCCAAGGGGCCCATTCGGACGCACCCCCATCGAGGATGAGCGCCCCCCCATCGTACACCCCCGGGTCAGGCCCAAAGTCGTTGGTCGGGAACTGCGCACCTGCACCGACCCTGGCAAGGCCCATCCTTGCCCAGATGGCCGGGCGCGAGGCGGGACAGGGGGGACTTTCGGGGATCATCGGGACAATCTGGCGTTTGGCGGCCGCGGTATGAAGGGTGGGGTTTGCCTGGGGGCATTTTCTTGAAATCTAACAGCCCCAACCTGACGGGCGGGGAAAAACGCCAGGACTGGGGGTGTCAGTGCTTCGGAGGTCCGGAGGGACGAGGAGTAAGTCGGACGGGGCCAGGACGAGGATCAATCCGTTCCAGAGCGTTCCGGAACGCTCTCAGAACGTACTGGCACGTTCTGAGGAGGCCGCCGCGCCCGGGACAGCCTCCGGAGCCGCCGTTATCTCAAAGATTCTCGACTTCTCCTCACCCGAACTTGTCCTCGTCCTGTCTTCGCCTTTTATGCATCCTGCAGGCGCTGGTAGGCCGCGCGCTCCAGGCGCGGCCGCAACACTCGGGCCGGACGAAAGGGGGGGATTGGGAAAGGGGGGGTTACGAAATTTGCTATCCCTTTGCTATCCCCCCCTTGGCTATCCCCCCCTTTCGCCCGACCCGCAACACCATCGCGCACTTGTTTTGGCGCCGACGCCCCGACGGCGGCAAGCCGCTGGCGCCGCGACGTGCCCCTCCGGACCGGCATGTAGAGGGTGTACAGAGGCTGCGGGCACGTCGCAACGGACAGACACTTCCTCCTCCCCCCCTCCTCCTCCTCCTCCTCCTCCTCCTCCTCCTCCTCCTCCTCCTCCTCCTCCTCCTCCTCCTCCTCCTTTCATTTTCTTTATACATGACCGCAGCGGAGAGAGTGGGGCTAAGTCGGGCCTGTCCTGTAGGGGGACACGCCCGACATAAAAGTGGGGCCTGATCACCAAGTGGGGCCTGGATCACCGGGCGCGTTCCACTACTCGCAAAGTGCCTACTCGCAAACGTCCGAAACGCGCATGCCTTCCTCTATATAAGTGTTCGTAGGTCCCTCGCGGCGGATCTTGGCCAGTTGCGAGTAGTTACTTTGCGAGTAACTATAGTGGAACGCGCTGGACCACTGGAGGGATCGGGAGCCTTGAGATGGGGGTCAGTGCAAACGGGGGTCCGCCCGAGCGCTGGATCTTGCAGGATCCTGCAACGCCAGGGGTGCACTGGCCCGGGCGAGTGCGCAGGATCCTGCAGGATTTTGCAGGGACCTGCAGAGCCCGACTGACCCAGGCCTGGCTTAACCGCAGTCAATAGATCCCCGAAGGGAGTTTCGGTCCCAAGGAGACTCGGCATCGCTTGCACGTGTGAACTATTTCCTCGGCGAGGACCATCGACGAACAGTTGATCCTTATGCCCCCCCAAAAAAAACGCACGAAACCGAACAATGCACGAGGAATGGACGTCCGAGCGATGGCGAGAAGTTGGAAAAGCGGGAGGGGACGAAATCGATGGAAATATGGGGGAACGTCCTCTGTTGCGTGCAGCTGGTTCCTGCCCCGCCGCCAGGCCCTTGTCCCAGATGCTTACGGGTATTTCTGGCGCCAGGAGGCGGGACACCGGCTGTATGAGCCGATTCGCCTCTGATGACCCCTCTTGCCGTCCGCCCCGCGGTCCTCCCCCTCCTCCTCCTCCTCCTCCTCCTCCTCCTCCTCCGGAAAGCTGCCCCAGGGTGGAGTTTCCCAGACCCCGTCGCGTCTTGAACACAGCAGCCACGCAACAAATTGGTTTTCTGCGCCGTCATCGGCGCGTGAGTTGCCCGCGTAAGGTCGCGCGTAAACGCCCTCGTCTCCAATGTGGCGTGCTGCGCCAGCGGCCCGCGCAAGCCACCGCATAAGGTCACCATGCCATCTCGCGTACGATCCGTTCTCTTTCGTCGCTCAAATCTCGGCAGGAGGTTTTTGGGCAATTCTCGATTTCCCGGGGGGCGGGGGGGTCGTGCTGGGGATTTCGGGGCCGTCAGAGACACGACTCGGGACGAAGAGCTGGCCCCAGGGCTCCTCTCGACACCCACAGGGCCACGACCACAGGGTTGGGGAGCGATCCTATTCGGGAGACCTTCGCGAGGCTCACAGGCGTACCCATCCAGAGGGGGCGGGGGGCGATCCCATATGCATTGGATGGGGGGGGAGGGGGGGGCACCGCTGGATCATATGTCCCCCAGAGCCGCCGCATCTCAGCTATCCTCGAGGATCCAACGGTCATCGAGAGCAGGTAAGTTTGGACTCCCAGATCCCAGCTTCAAGGCTCTTGTGGTTTCCCCTCTTCCCTCCTTCTCAGGGGGCGGGCGGAGATCACATCTACTTCCAGCGCCCTCCTACTTCATTCAAGCAGTGGCGAAGCGTCCTGGCTCGCCTATAGTCCTACCAAACAATGTTCTAAGAACCTTTTGTGGTTTCCACGAAATGTTCTCAGAACATGTCTGGTTGGGGCAGTCTTGGTTTAACACATCTGGTTTATGGTCTAAGAACATTGTTTTTGTTATTAGAACTTTTTGGGGTTCTAAGAGCATTTCGTGGTAGGACTATAGGAATGCCCGACCGGTCGGTCCCTGCTCAATTCATGTTTATCCCTACTTATTCCGTCCGACGGGTATCCCGATTCAGCTTCGTCCTGATCCTGCCCTCGTTTTAGAAGACGACCCCTATTACCCTCTGGTGATAACGGGCGTTACCGTAGGGTTGGGGGCGGGGTGGGGGAGGGAGGTGGTCACATCGTCGATTCGCGCCAGCGCCGTCTGAGAATGTGGAGGAGTGGCTCAGTAATTCCCAGACGGCGCCCGCGCGAATCGTGAAGCTGTGCCGGTGGGGGAAGGGGATGGCGGGGCCTGTAACGGGCGTTACAGTCAACCCGCCTAGTAAGGATGAGCCACTTTCCAATATTACCCTCGTATCCTCCCCCCTCCGGCCCATCCTTGGCCGCTTTCACTGGTCGTGCCCTGCCCGCAAAGTGTCGACGTGGCCTTCAAGGCCCTCGCATCCGTATCGTGCGTCCTTACTCTACGGGTTGACTGTGTCGCGAAGTGCAACAGAAAGAGCTGCGTTTCCACCAGGACCTGTCTTCCTCTGTCGCTGGCATTGTATGTCCTCCGCTGGCTCCAAGCACCTCGGATCAGGGAAACGTAGGACTCGAGTGCGCCAGAAGTCGGGATTGCCGGCGCGTCCTGGATTCTGACGGTCCAGTCTCCGCGGGATGTTTTTGCAGCGGGAGCTCGCGTCAAATTTCAGATTGGGTCTCGTCATTTTCATGATGGCCCCGTCAGGCCAGCCCGAGTTCCTCGAACCCGAGTCTCGGTCTCTCCGACTCGGGCGTCGGGTGTCGCCAGAGGTGTCCTTGGCTCGGGATGCCCCCAGTTGGCTCCAAGCACACCGGAGGAGGAAAAGGCGCCGATACAGCTACGCTTCCATCGCTTTCGCCTCAGGCCCTCGTCGCCATTCGCCACGGCTGGCTTCTTCGTGAAATTGTTCGGAAATTGGCGCATATACGTTACCAGTGGAGGGCGGTTTTTCGATCCCGGTACTTTTTTACGGTCGGGGACGATGTCGGGATGGTGTGGTTTACACTTGCTTTCCCGTTTTCCTAGGGAAACAACGAAGAATGTACACACCAGGATCCCGTATACACCTGGATCCGCTTTCCTGTGCGAGGTTCAGTGTGATGCCATACAAAGGCGTCGGTGTATAGAGTTCGGCTCCTTAATTCTGGAATCGGCACCTGTTCGCCCCCGCCCCCCACACAAGCACCGCTCAAGTGCACCGCATGGCATGATTCGCCACAAGAGCCCTGGCAGTCTATGCTGCCCGGCCAGATGGAGGGAGAACAGGAGGGAGGGGGGAGAATGCTCGAACGGGGCTAGGACGACGGTAAATCCGTTCCAGAGCTTCCTGGAACGCTCTCAGAGCGTTCCGGAACGCTCTGAGAAGGCCGCGGCGCCCGATACATCTTCAAGAGCCGCCAGATCTCAGAGATTCTCGACTTCTCCTCACCCGATTTTGTCCTCGTCCTGGCTTCGTCTTAGGTGCAAGCACGCGAGCGCGCAGGAGGGAGCCCAGGGCTGGCGCGACGAGGCAGGCGGGCGGGCATGCGGGAAGGGACAGGGGGACAGCCGGCAGCGAGCAAGCATTGCCCCGACCCAGCTGTTCTCTAGGGAGGCCCCAGGTGGCCTCCAGAGCATTCCTCGTGAGACTTCGAGGGCCCCAAGGGGTCCAGCATGGCGCGGGAAGCGGGGGCCACCGCAGGCGCGAGCATCCGTCTCGCCTGGAAGCATGCGCGTCCTGAGGGCAACGGGTCCTGAGGCCTTTCGCAGCTTGTTCTGCTTCCTGGGAACTTCCACGGTTGGCGGCGTGTTGAGGGGGGTAGGGGGACGGGGAGGGTTTTTTAGAAGCACCCCTGCTTCTCAGAAGGCGCGGGCCTCATCTATAGATTTAGGGCCAGCGCCTTCTAAGGAGCCCCCCTCGTTCTAAGAAGTCTTCCCCCCCTCCCGTTACCCCCGTGAGCGCGCCGCCAACACAGGCCCCAGGATTGTCAGAGAGTGGCTCTGGACGGAAAGCTAGCAGCTCAGTTGAGATCCCGCTTCTCTCAGGACCCGCTCGTGTTGTGCCAGATGTTCTCGCAACCTCCGAGAGGACCGATGTCTCTCGAGAAGCGCCGCAGGCGCGCGGTGGCGAGGGCTCCGGCCGGGCGGCCGGGACTCTTCGCGGAGATCTCCTCACGGCGGTGGGCCGTGGGACATTTGGCCACGCGCAGAGGGGGGTAAGGGGGACGGGGGAAGGCTTGTTAGAAGAATATCTGCTTCTTATAAGGCGCGGTCCTCATCTATAGATGGAGGGCCGGCGCCTTCTAAGAAGCCCCCTCTTTCTAAGAAGTCTTCCCCCCCTCCCGCTACCCCCCTCTGCGCGCCGCCAAGACACGCACCTGCCCCGCCCTCCTCGTCCTTCAGATCCCCCCTGACTATGTGTATCGATCGGCGCCCACGAGGCTACCCAGAATCACAGAGTCCTGCTTTTCCTTATCGGGTGAGTTTCCGCGCCGGCTTTATCAGGCATTCACGCGCTCACTTTCTGAGCAGAGGGTTCGTTCGAGCCTGGGCAGTTCAACCAGTCCTGGTCTATTGGTCCTCGTCTCCTCTCATTATCCCCCATTCCTGCCACGGACTTGTGGCGTTAGGGGATATTTTGCGCGCCGCGAAGGATGATACTGACGATGAGAAGGAGGAGGAGGAGGAGGAGGAGGAGGAGGAGGGGGGGGAGTAGCAGGAGGAGGAGGAGGCGGAGGAGGAGGAGGAGGAGGAGGAGGAGGAGGGGAGGGGGAGGGGGAGGGGGAGGATGCGGACGTGGAGAAGGAGGAAGGCAGGTGTATGGGCTTGGGGCTCCCCAGACATCTGCACTCTGACCGACTAGCTTGCTATCTTTCACGCTGGTTCCCGCGCGCCTGACCCGGTGGCTCGGAACAGATTCAATGCAGCTCAGTTTTACGCTCGGCCGCGGATGGCAAGTCCAGGCTGCTGCTTAAAAGATGCGCTGGGCCCTGGCGTTTTTTTTGCGAGGCGCCGCTCCTCGCCCCATCCTCTCGCTGGCCCCCTCCCCGCCTCCGTCCTCCTGGCCCTCGTCCTCCCCCCTCTTCGTCCTCGGCCCCCGTCCTCCCGTGCCCTCCTCCTGGGACTGGTCCTTCGGCTGCTTCTCGCCCCACCCTTCCGCTGCTCTCGCCTCGTGCGGCCGGGACACGGCGACCCTCCGAGTTTGCGTTCAGGGAGGGCTTCGATGAGCGTCCCATCCGTCTACCCATCGCGCAGTTAAGTGGAGTATGCCAGCGGCGATATTGGGCAGGCCCCAGGGCACGCCCGCGCGTTGCCCGTTGACTGCCCTGACCTTGTGTGTCGACCACGGCCTGCTCGCGTCCACCGTGTCTCCGTGCCCGGGGTGGGGACACCACGCAGCTGAGCCCACGCACACGGGGGTCAGGCCGCCCCGAGGTCCCTGGAGCCAAGTTACTTCGAGTCCTCTTCCAGTTCCACCGCCTCCCCCTCATCGTCCTCTTCCTAACCTCCCTCCCCCCCTCACCGTCGCAGTTCTCCCCCTCCTCTCCCTCGTCGGCGCTCCCCTTCGCCCTCCGTCCCCCTCGTCCTCCTTGCCTGCCTCTCCTCGTTTTCGTTCTCGTCGTCGGCTTCTTCGGCCGCTTCCGGAAGGACCACTCTGGGCCAAGGAGGGGCTCGGAGTCTCGGACCACCTCGCAGGTCTACGTCGGGGAACCTGTTCGTGGCCGAGGCTCGCCGTGGCCAATGAGCCCCTTCGTTCCTTATGCATCGATCCCCCACGACGACTGTACTTCGTCCCCCTTCCTCCTCCTCCGTCTCCCTCCTCTGCCCCTCCGCGGACGCCTCGTCGGATGCACGCCCCCGCCCACATGTTCTTTCCCGTCTTCCTGTCTCTGGCCTGGACCTCCCTTTGCCCCTCCCTCAGTGGGTTGCGCTCCTCCTCCTCCTCGTCCTCCCCCCCCCTCGGCCACGCGCAGAGGGGAGTAGGGGGAGGGGGGAAGGCTTCTTAGACGCACCCCTGCTTCTTAGAAGGAGCCTTCCCCCTTGTGCTAGGACGAGGATGAATCCGTTCCAGAGCGTTCCGGAACGCTCTCAGAGCGTTTCGGGATGCTCTGAGAAGGCCACGCGGCGCCCGAGACGTCCTCCAGAGCCGCCGGAGGTTAGAGCTTCTCGATTTCTCCTCACCCGAATTTGTCCTCGTCCTGGCTTAGTCTTTCCCTACCCCTCGAAAAGGGGATCGGCTCTAGAGTTGATTTTCCCCAGAACAGGTGTTCCGTCGAGTCTACGAAACATACGCAACATGGTCTGCAAATCTACGGAGCATTCGACGATGGGGTCGTAGATTCTCGACGGGGAAGTCAATTTGGGGTGAATCCATTCTGCAGTTGCTGCCCTATTCGAGCCCCACCGTGCGCGCAGCCAGCCCCCTCCCCTGGAGGGTTTCTCTGAAGGGCTTAGGCGACCCGTCCTCCCCCTCCTTCTCCCCCTCCTCCTCCTCCTCCTCCTCCTCCTCCTCCTCCTCCTCCTCCCCTCCTCCTCCTCCTCCCTCCTCCTCCTCCACCTCCTCCTCCTCCCTCCTCCTCCTCCTCCTCCTCCTCCTCCTCCTCCTCCTCCTCCTCCTCCTCCTCCTCCTCCTCCTCCTCCTCCCTCCTCCTCTCAAGCCGTTCTGGTGCGAGGTCCCTTTTGGGGTGAGGCGGCCTCCATCCAGACACCACACGCGCGTACCGCGCACGGGCCGGCGCCAGGCGCCCGCTACGTGCGTCCGCGGCTTGAGGGGCGCCTGCGGGCGGCAAAAGTCGTGTGGTGCGGGTTCGTACATACATGGGCAAGACGGGCAGCCAGAGGTGCTCGTCACGTACATCTTCCAGGGATGGCGGTCAGACGCGCTATGAGTACTACGTCTGTGGGAGCTGCCCTCGTTCTTGGGTGTATGAGTCTCGTGCTGGCCAACCTGGGTGGGAAGGATACCAGACCTGTGGAGCCCCCTGGCCATCACGTCCAGGGCAGCAAGCCAATCGCAACGGGACAGCAGCGGGTTGCACCGTCTCCTTCGATGTGGACGAGTCCCCGCTGGTGCAGAAGCTCATGCCCAAGTACAAGGCGGCGCGCGAGTCCAAGGACGCCGCTGCCATCTAGGCGCTGGAGCTGGTCTGTCCCGAGCTGGCCAAGATGGCGCAGCTCTCGCCCGCGCCTGCGATCCTCCTGGAACAGGCTGCGCGGCAGCTGCGGCAATTCCACGGCCAGCAGAAGCAGCTCAAAGAGCAGATCGTGGCCAACGCCAGGACTGGCAAGGACCTCCTCCGCAGGACCAACGAGAACATCAGAGCCTGCCAGGAGGCTCAAGAGGAGGTGGATCGCTACTCAGCCCAGACGGGTGTTCCAGCGGCCAGCTCAGGGAGTGGCGGCCCTGCAGACGACACCGAGTTCCCCTCCCTCTCGGAAGAAGACATCCAGCTCCTCACGCCCGAGCAACAGCAGTACTACAAGGACGCGGCAGCGGCGGCGCAGCAGGCCCAGGTCACCCTCTTGTCCGCCACCGACGCGGGCAAGCAGGCGAGGGAGGCGGCCGCCACGCTCCGCAGCCTCCGCGAGCAGGTCGCCTCGACCAAGCGGCGCAGGGCAGACGCAGCCTGCGGAGTGGCCCCAGGCGGCGGCGGCGCTGCCGCGGCTCCCGCTGCGGCACCGACGCCCGAGGAAGCTGGCGACCGAGACTTCAGCACTCCCGAGGCGGTCGACGAGTACATCAAGGTCACGGCCTCGCGCAGGACTTGCCGTGGCGGGGGCCTCGGCTGCCAAGGGGCCGTCGGCCGCGGCCGCGCCAGCGGCGCCCCCCGCCCCGCGGACGGCGGCGGCGCCAGCAGCGGCAGCAGGTGCGGCGATCCCAGGCAAGGGCGACGGCACGGGCGGCAAGGACCAGGCGAAGGGGTAACAGGGCTGCAGCAGGAAGAGCCGCTCATAGGAGCGAGGGCCGCCATGACAACAGGTCGGCCTCAGCCAGGACCCCCTTCGGCAAGAGGGACTACGCCTCGGTCTTCTTCGGCGACGTCACCTCTTACTCCCCCAAGGTCAAGAAGTCCATCGAGACGGCCGCTCACGACCTGATCGGCGTTGCGAGGCACCACCTCGGCAAGGACAAGTGCGTCCAGGAGGGGAAGCGCCTCCGCAGTTTTGGATGGCGCTCAGAGGGGGCATGGGCGCCAGCGACTCCCTCTACCCGCTCAGCTTCGGGCGCCCACGGAGGCGCGTGCTGGCTGAGGAGAGCCACCTACGCTACGAGCGTCCACTGGCAGGGCGCCAACCACCAGAGCGTGTTCCAGGACGCGCTCCAGGATGTCTCCGTGGTGCTCTGGCGACTCCAAGGGGCCACTTTCGCTTTCATTGTGTGCTGCTTGGGCTGCTCCATCGGTCTAGTTGGGGCCAGCGCCAGGAAGATGGCCACAATCTCTCGGATTGTGAAGTCCTTGGGAGTTCCCTGGTGTTTGGCGGGTGATTTCAATGCCTCCCCAGAAGAACTGACGCGTTCAGGCTGGCTTCGCACCGTGAAGGCGCGAATCCTCGCGCCTGAGGGAGTGAACGTCACGTGCGCGTCGGGCAAGGGTCGCATACTGGACTACGTGGTCGTGCCCGACAGCTTCCGCCCCTTTCTCAAGAGGGCGAAGCCTGTCCAGGAGCTGCCGCGGGGGCCGCACATCGGCCTCAACATCCTGGTCACTGCGAGGCCTGCCGCAGCGTTGTTACGTGCCCCTGTGCCCCCCGTTCCTCTTGAAGTGCCTGCAGGGGAAGTTCACGTGCCCAAGGGAATCAAGCGCTGTCAGCGTGACAGGCAGCGGCGCGCAGAACTGCAGCAGGCCAAGGAAGATTGCGAGCAGCTGCAGGCGGGCGACCTGCTCAACGACGACGACGAGCGCCTCCTCGAGGACACCTACACCCAGTGGCGGCTCCAGCAGTGCAACGACTACGTCTGCTCGCCCTGGGCGGAGCACGTCGCCGGGGCCCAGGAGCGCGTGGGCTCGCACATCCCAGCGGGCGAGGATGTGATGGCCAGCGTCGCGTACCAGATGGGCCCGAACATGGCGCAGGCTCTGGCGGTGCAATACGGATACTGGGCCGAGGCGGCGGAATCGCAGCTGGCCGAGCTCTGCGGCACCGAGTCTCGTGACAGAGCCCGACGTGGTCGACCCGTCAAGTACCAGTGGCGCAAGGCGCAGGAGCAGACGGCTGGCTCGCAGTTCGGCCGCGCCTGCGCGCAGGACATCGGTGGCAAGTGGGCCAGCCTCCACGCCAGGGTGCAAGAGCAGCTCATCGCACTTGGGCGCCACCGCCACACTGCGTACCAGCGCAAGGTGCAGGACATCGTCTCCGACATCATCAGCAGCATCAGGTTCCTCCTCACCAACCAGGGGCCCGTGCCCGAGGACCAGATGCAAGCCACCAAGGGGAAGTGGCGGGTGCACCTGGGCGACGACAGGGTCCTCGGCCACGGCGAGCGCATCCGCTATTCCAGGAACTTCCCCGAGTGGCAGGCCTTTGCGCTGAAGGTGCAGGCGAGAGCGGCTAGACATGCCAGCTTGGCGTGGCAAAGGACCCGTAGCGAGATGCAAGCATGGGCCACGGCAAGTACCCAGGGATCCATGCGAGGCGCCCACCGCTACCTCAAGAAGGACGAAGTGCAGGTCCTCGACGAGACCTGCGTCGACCCCGACACTGGAGAGGTCTGCGACACTGTGCAGGCCTCCACCGAGGCCAGGGCACGCCGCTGGCGCGACCGCTGGACCAGCAAGCCCGACCGCGCGCCTGCTTTGCGCAAGGCGTTGGGTGCGCTGCGGACCCTGGCAAGCGAGGCGCTGCCAGAACGGCGCTACCACACGAGGGGCGACATGGTGAACGCCGCCAGGACATTCCCCAAGGCCACGGGCAAGGGCCCTGACCAGTGGGCGCCAGGCCAACTCCTCGCGGTCTCCGACCAGGGGCAGGAGGCCTTCACCACCCTGCTCAATATGGTGGAGCGCGCCTTGGCCTGGCCGCACCAGCTCCTACA